GAGGATTTCTTGGAGGAATCAGCATCACAAGTGCTTCCCATCCTCCAGGTAACACAAGGTGAGTGCTGTACAGCTCACATTTGATCCAGAGCACGATGGCACCCTCCCCAGTTTACCAACCACGACTTCATCCTTTAATCTTATCTTCTAGTATGAAAAGGAGTTAAAAGAACCTCCTAGAGAGCTAAGCTCTCCTAAAGCCTCATGGCATCACCTCCCCGGCTCCTGCAGTGTCCCCCACCTGAAAACACTAGAGGGGGGACATGCAGGATGGGGCCACGAGGATCACAGGGCCACAAGGAGCCTCGGGATGAGGGCTATGGACACAGGCCTATTCACAGCCCCATCTCTGTTACCTTGGTGATGGCAGCGCTGCCCAGACAGCATGCAGCCCCTGGGAGCCAGCAACACGTTAGCCTGTTTGTAAAACGAGTTCAGCCACCCCTGCCTGTCTTATGCAGAGCTTTCGTCTTCTGTAGTGCTCAGGCAAGCCCCCCTGAAGAAAGAAACGAAGGATCTGGGGAGACCATATAGTGGCCTTCCAGTCAGTACCTAAAGAGGACCTACAGGAAAGCTAAGGAGGGACTCTTTCAGGGAATGTAGCTATAAGACAAGTGGTAATGGCTTTAAACTAAAAGAGGGTAGGTTTAGATTAGACATTAGGAAGAAGTTCTTTACTCAGAGGGTGGTGAGGCCCTGGCACAGGCTGCCCAGAGCAGCTGTGGATGCCCCATCCCTGGAGGTGTTCAAGGCCAGGCTGGACCGGGCTTTGGGCACCCTGGTGTGGTGGGAGGTGTCCCTGCCCATGGCAGGGGGTTGGAAGCAGGTGATCTTTAAGGGCCCTTCCAACCTAAACCAAGCATTGGAAGATGCATCCAGCTTCATCAGGTTGTGCTTGTCATGCATCATGGGCCACCTACACGGGTTCATCAAGCTACAGTGGTGCATGAAGGGGGGAAAACAGTAGTGTGAGCTAACAGTGCTCTGCACTAACGCTTAATGTAGAAGCATGTGGCCTCAAGTACAGTTTACTTGTCCTCCCTCTCGAGTCGCACAACCCCTGCTTGGTATGTGATGAGAGAGCATGAGGGCCGGCCCTGCCCTGCCCTGTCCTGCACGCCCTTGGAGTGGCGGCTGGCTCCGTGCACTAATGAGGCCCCAGGCAGCCAGCAGCTGACAGACGTTGCTGAAGTGGGCTCCGAGGAGAGCAAAAGAATGACTTGGAGGTAGAAATGAAGAGATACAGATCTGCAGCCCATGGGCCTCGGTGTAAAGATGATCCCACTGGGTTGCAATGGCCGTCAGCAGAGTTAACCTTCTGCCCTAATCACAATCATTAAATTCCTGCTAACGCCCCTGTCCTATGTATGTCCAAACAGCTCTGTTCTCTGTCACCTCCCCTCACGGTGAGCCCGGCTCCCCACTGCCACAGCTCTCATTAACGCCGCTCTGGCTGGCTGATGAGGCGAGTGGCAGCCTGCTCAGGAGCCCAGATGAGTTTTGTGGACAGCAGGGGATGTTTATCCAACATGGAGGGGATGAAAGTACAAACAAAGAGCGGCCGCACAATTACTCAGGCATCGCGTAGGGCCACTCTCATTAAAGACAGTCTCCCTGACATGAATTAATCTGAAGTGACAACCCAGTGAGCTAAATTAGCACATGGGTCCGGGCTTGGCTGGGTGCAAATCGCAGGGGTCTGTCTGCCAGGTAGGGCTGAGCCTGTTCCATAGAGGGGAAAGGCAGGAAGGTGTTAAGCTGGCCTTCTTCTGCCCAAGTCTACCCAGGAAGGTGCAGGGGAAACGGCAGCCTCAGGTCTCGTCGAGGGGCACAATGAAGATTAAACTCCCCTTCTGCACCAATACCTTCTCCTTCCTCTTTCTCCTGCAGCCTCAGGTCACAGATGGGTTCCAGCTCATTACGTGCACAGTAATTCTGCCACTATCCCCTGCAACCGTAACCACCAGCCCAGCTCAGATCTTTCCTCCAGGATGCAACCTGCTTGCAGTATTAGATGGCTTCTCATTTCTCTTTAATGTTAGAGCAGAGCTCTGGGAGGGGATAAAATACACAGAGAGAAACAAGCAACTTAAAAGGCTTTTTATTTTTTAAGCAAAGATCTGGTTTGAGGAGGCTGCTTTGAATCCCCAAGCAATGAAAAGCATTTTCAGTTGGAGTGCAGTGGCTCAGTGCCTTTCCATGCTACAAGAGCACAGAGAAGAAAAAAGCTGACCAAGCAATCACCCCAAAGCCTTCTGGATCAGCCCACAACCAAATGACCCAAGGCTGTGGACTCATTAAGTTCACTGGCTACAGTGAAGTAAGACAGACGGCATTTGGAGCAGTTGCCTTGGAGCAAGAAAGGGAAAACCTCCCAAACCCCCAGAACAGCCATCTGTGAGGCTCCTGCAGCTCTTCAATGGGGAAGTTTTCCCTATGGAATTGGCACTCGACGCTACGCCACTGCCTAGCCCACCTGACTGATGCACTCCAGGAAATCACAGCCTATTTACCAAGACACACAACAAAGGCTTTACAAGAAGCTTGCTCCACAATGCTATCGTATGTGCTTTGCCTGGGTCAGTGGCTCCAAGCTGTCAGGCTGTTTATTAGGTTTTAATCTAAGGTTAATTCTTATTCTACTGGAACTGGTGCGTCTGCTGTGACACTCAGCCTGCGCCGCGGTGCTGGGAACAATCAGCTCCTATGGAAATGCACCTGTCTGTGTTGCTGGAAGCCCCCATGCATTACTTAGGAAACCAAATTCCCCCAGACTGCTTGCAAACCCCACAGGAATGCCCAGCCAGCCAGTGGAAGCTGTTGAACAGGGAGAGTTGGAAGAGCACAGCACCAACCAATTAATAAGCAGCACTTTTGCTCTCACCCAGCCCCGTTTTCAGCAGCTGCAGCAAACAAATTTAATTCAAGGGTTCCCAGGTGCCTTGCAAAGCATTCTGCGACTTAGGGATCTTCACATTACATATGCCAAGAGCTCTTCAAGCAAACTGGGGAGAGCAAAAGGAAAACCAGCAAAGCATGTCACTGTCAGTGGGCATGCCAGCTGGCTGCTCTTTGGATATCAGCTCAGCAATAGTTAACTTCCCCCCGGACAGCCCCTCACCACCCAGCAGGTACCCTGAGAGTTGTGCAGTTCGATTCTCCTTCATCCTTAGGATACAGAAGAGCACTTGGCCATGGAGACCAGTGGAGGAGGAGCTGGCTGGGTAAGCTTTCATCAGCTTGATGACGACAATAAATCAATAAATAAATCAACTACCTGTAATGTTCCCCGCCCCCCCCCCCCCCTTTTTTTTTTTAGTCTGGGGAGAATATCCACTTCAATCCCAGCTCTCTGGGAGGGTTTTCGTGCCACCCCAGCTAGAACCTGGAAGCTATTGCATCCAGCGAGGATGGTGCACAGGCAACCAGTGGCTCTCCATGAGATGCAAGTGGCTTTGTAGGAGGGCCAGGAGACATGAACACCCTTTCCAGACTGTTTCCTGCTTGTGCTCAACAGAGTTTGGTAACAAATCTCCCCTGCTGCTTCCTTTCTCTGCTGTCCCTTATTCAGATTCAAGCCACCAAGATGGGAACTGCAGCCATTTCTAAGAGCCTGCCCATACATGAGATTGGATTACAGCAGGGTCACAGTACAACACTCCTCCAAAATACACCACTCAAGAGTCAATACGATGTACTGCTGCTGCACAAGAAACATTAACAGCAATAACTGACAGGGTGTGAACAAAATCAAAAGGTTTAACTTTCACGGGCACTCAGCTTCCTTTATGTCATAAAGCAGAAACGTGGCTTTTCCTTCTCTTAATCCCTTTCAGGAGAAGCTGAATGAGGACAAGATCCAAAATTACTTTTAGGCACTATGCAAGAGGAAAAAAAACTCAATATCACTGGAGAAAGATAAAAATCACAAATTAGTTTGTTGAGTTTCTGTGCTGATAATAGCAAAACTTGGCTAACGGGGAAGGGGTACTATGACAAACTGCCTTCATTATTAGAGGCTCCCCTGTGTCCTGCATTATTATTAAGCACTGACAATGTGCTCTGCGCTGTATGAATAACAAACAAAGGCTGTCCCACCCCAGAGAGCTCACAAGCAAACGGAGACATAAAACTGAAGCCTACTGTGCAGAACTAGAGGAGAGAGACACTGGGATCTTTTTAATTATTTTGTTTTCTATCTGCAGTAAACAAACTTCTTACAAAATGCATTTGCTTCCAAGCTACTACTGAATGGCAAGAACCGCCAATTTTAAGTGTCCCCGTTTTTAAAATGTGTTGAATGCAGGCACTTTGCTGAGCTTGGATGAAAGTACACGGCAATCCTGTTAGGTTAATGTGCTCTTTAAAAACATCAGACTCTTACCTAACCTTCTCCAACCAGTGATCTCTTCAATGTTCCCTCAGTTCACTCCGCACCCCACCCGCCCCAGCTTTGGCGTGATTTCTGTTCAGATTCAGAAAACCTTGAAACCCACTTCTCTTCCCCTGCAGAGTTTATATAGTCCCAATAGCTTCATTACTGAGACAGTATGAAAGCCCTTTTGCAACACAAACAGACACTGACTTTTTCCTGCAGTTCCTGCCTGGAGAGCTCTTCAGCTTATTCCCTTTATTTCATACAAGTGGGGAGGGTAGAATTCCACTTGCTTGAATCTTTGGCCTATAAAATCTCTAAAACCTACTAATGACTGTGGGCTTTTGTTCATATTAAAACCCCCTTCAGAACACTGAGCATTAACAGTCCAAGGGGAGGCAGTGGGGCTTTGAAAGCTCTCGATTGTACCCAACACCTGACTTAATGAACACTGAGCTGTGTACTCAGCCTGTCTCTCCCATTCAGCGGGGAAGGCATAAGTCTATCAAGGTCTGGCAGTTTCCCCAACTACAGCTCTTAATCAGCAAGGAGGCATTGATGGAGCTGCTTTCTGAGGTTCTCTTCCCAAGAGCACGCACTGAGGCTCCAGAAGAGCAGACCTTACCTGCCTGACTTCCAGGCGATACTTGAGGATGGGATCCACAGCATCAGGCTCCTTCTGTGTCCACTGCAAGATGTAAGAGTAATTCTTGGATTGCTTCTGGCTCAAGGTGGGGTTGGGAGTATCATAGTAAAACTCTGGGCTGTAAGCTTTTGCTGAAGGAAAAAAACAAAAGGAGGAAAGTAAAGAGTGGGATGGAAGGGGAACATAAATTACAAAGAGATGCGGTGCGAGTGGAAGGGGACTGCTCACCCAATTTGCTTTTGACATGGCAAATCCCTTTAATATTCCACCTGGAGTTGCATTGACATGCTAAACTGTTCATGGCATCTTTCTCTGTGGATCACTACTACTTTCCCAGCCTAACCTACTGGGAGGGTTCACAGACCCACAACACCAGTGGGGCATGACCAACACCCAGCTGTGGAACAGCTTCAGTACTCCAGCTGGAACCAGCTCTCATATTTGTCTTGCTTTTGTAGTTTGGATTGAGGTAACGACTTTAAACTGGCACTTCTCCTCTTTCATCTGCTGCTTCACAGAGTCCCCTGCTAACAATCCCTGAAGAAAGATCATTTGGCCAGTAGGTCATAGGAAAAGCATTATTTATCGCACAGGGACCACAGCATTTAAAAGGAGACCTTGCTCCTTCTGCATCTCCCCTGCCCTGGCAGCACAGTGCTCCAGCCTCTTTGTAACGTGACGGTCACCTCTGCAGCAAAGGGGATGCTGACCTCAGCCAGGGTGAAAACAGCAGGAGCTTTGGCAAGGGCAGAGATGTCTTTTCTAAACCCACCTCTCCTCTTAAAAACAGAGGGCAGCAGGAGGAAAAGAAACACAGAAGAAACAATGTACTGGAGAGAAATTGGATGGTTCAGAGAATAAGGGATTTCCCATCATTTCCCCAGCTGCTGCTGTCCCGAACCAGTAACAAACAGGGCTTGAAAGCTGGCCGCCTGCAAAGCTCATCCAATTTTCTGGAAGTGACTGAGAGCCCTCCCTGGCATTGCCCTGCCAAAAACTGCCCCAAAATGCTGCCACAAGGCAATGCTGGCTGCAGCCCAGTGGGCAGCAGGCATGGCTGGACACCACGAGGACAGCAAATTTAAGCTTGTAGGGCAGCAGGCATGGCTGGACACCACGAGGACAGCAAATTTAAGCTTGTACAGAGGGATCCTACAGGCTCAGGCATTCTCCTTCCCCATTATATGACAAGACTCTCCCAAAATGTCACCATGTCCATGTGGATGAATTTTGGCTTAGGTGTTGCACCCAGCTTCTCAGAGTGAGTCAGGAACAACTTGAGGTCTTACCCCAAAAGGGCCTGTTTGAGATTACCTTCCCTTCTCCCTGTGCAATTCAATTTTTGGGAGGTTCTGGGCAAGGCAGGAGCTGGCCCTGAACACGAAGCCTCCTTTCTGAGGTCAGGTCCAATCTGGACCTGCACAGACCAGCACCGCGCAGAGCAGAGCAGACACAAACAGCATCTCCCCAAGCAGTCTGCCACACCTTGCCACTTGAATCATGGGCCCTGCCATTCAGTGTGGTTATAATTAGGCTCGAAAGGATTCAATGTTTATTTTTTATGAACTCAGATGGATAATATTGATGTTTATTTCCAAGTCCTTTTTTTCTTATTATTTTTATTGACTTGAATTTTTGCACAAGCAAGAAGTTCAGAACCACCTCAGAGACTAATTGCTGCTTATTCAACTTGTATTGACTGTGGAAGTCAAGCTTCATAATGGATTCAGAAATAAAATCAGAACTGATGATAATCATAATCTTGCATGATATTAATTCCTTATTAATTGACTCTAAAATAGAAATAGAAGCTAAAAAAAAATCCTTCCAATAGAAAGGAAGCACATCAAAATACTTTTGGAACTTCCTTTCTGGAAACTTTTACCATTGCCAGAAAGTTTTGTCTTTTTCTTTCAGCTGACAGGAAGAGCTAAAGGTTATTCACTCAGTCTTTCAGGGCTTTTCTGAGCTTGCAGATAGATAGTGGGAGAGCAGCTGGTGACCAGTATGGGTGGTCCTGATAACTTGCTCAAGGGAGTGGGTTGGATGCCTCACTATTCTTTCAAAGTATTACCAAAAAAAAGCTAATCTCCCATCCACAGAAGAAACTAATCCCATCCAATAGACCTTGGCAGGTTTATGTACTCTGTTTCCAGTCTGTCTGAACGCCTCACAGTCACAACTGAGTCACTGCCTCCCCATCAGACAGGAAGGTTCATGGACCTTCTTTCACAGAGCAGAAACAAAAAGCGACTATGCTGTTCCTCCACAGAGGAAGTCTGTAGCAGATGTGAATTTAAACTAGAGCTCAAGTGCCCTAGTCCAGCCACTGGATTATTTTTCAGGTTGCTCTAGAGGTTCAGAAGGTCTAATTGATTTGTAGCTGTGCAGGACACAGGCAGAGACATTTGGAGCTGAAAAGCCAGCATCAGCTATCAACACCTTGGAAAAAGAGGAAAGATGCAGAAAAACAAATGCTTGCAGCTTTCCAGATGCAGGCTCTGTAGGGATGACCACTGCTTTCTGCTGAGGGGATCTTGCCATGGGGGACATGCCATGGCACATAGGATGGCAGTGTGTACTTGTTACTACTTCCAGCAAGAAACTGAGAACCTGGGAGCGTTCCCGAACTTGTTAAGAACAAAGTTCACCCTGATGGATGGCTCATAGCGAGATATGGTTTGCCATGTAGTTAGGGAGATGAGAGTTGCAAGCATATGAAGAAAGATTAGGTAGCCAAGGGTCTGAATCGTAATCCACTGCCAGACAAATTTTGGGAGACACCCACAGTTGAGGGTAAGGTCCCGAAAAATGTTCCACAGAATAGAAATGGTTTGGGTTGCCCCATTCCTGAGAGCATCTCAGAGTTACAGCATAACTGAGCTTCTCCAGACCCTAGGAAAGATTTAAAGATTTGCTTTAAAGTCTGACCTCTTTGCATATTATTTATTCTCTCTTTCTCTCTCTCTCTCATTTTTTTTTCTTCCCAGTCCTGTCCTGACATGTTTTATAAATTGGCCCTATTCTGGAAAAACAATATTTTGGCTGAATTTACTGTTTATTAAGGCAACTTCATCTGAGAGCTTGTCTAGAATCTGGTGCCCAAGTCAATTCTGAGGTCATGGGAAAAACAGATTTAATGATCAGTTAGAGAGGCTAGGTCAGATGTGTGGTTTTAGATGCTATAACTCTGCCATCCCTCTCTGCAGTTGCAGGTGCTAGAAAGCAGCTCTGGTGCATGCTGGAAAAACAAAGCAAAACAAAACAAAACTGAGCAGTAAATCCAATAGTACTAGTATCCAACCCCAGATCATGTTTGTCCTAGCAGACATTGTGATTCAAAGACAGCCTGGAGTCACAGGGAAGGTGTAGGAATACATGGTACCATTGGTTTGTTTGTTTCAGAGGGGAAATTAGATGTTTTTGGAGACTGCTGGCAGGATGTAGAGCCTTTCAATCATCCTTGGTCAATACTTACCTACCAAGCTTGAAAATACTACTACCAAGCCTGAAAGCTGATGACAGCCTCAAGTTTTAGTCTTTCAGGCAAATTTCTAAATACTGCTAACATACAACAAAGGCTGGCACTAACTGCCCCGGGTCCATCCCAGACTTGAAGATGATGGAGACACAAATCCCTGTGGGCTTACAGAAAGTCACCCCTCCTGAACACAATGCCGTGTACAAAGGAGGCAGCAGAAGTGGGACACGCTGCTTGTACCAGCATTTACTGGGATCAAGCTTCCCACCTCTGTGCCCCCATCTCACATCTCGCTCCCACGTGCGCTCTGGGACTTACCAGACACCTGGAAGAGGCAGGCGGAGACCCCCACGTCATTGGAAATGCTGCACTCGTAGTTCCCGCTGGTCTCCCGGCTCACGCTGTCCACCTTCAGCTCCGAGTAGTCCTGCTGCTCCGCCGGGGGCTGCGCCAGGAGGGTCCCGTTGAAGCGCCAGACGGAGGTGGCCACCTTCATGGGGCTGCCCTTCAGCATGGTGCAGCGCAGGGTGACGCTGCGCCCCACGCCCTGGCGCACGTCCTGGAAGGCTGGCTCCACCACCGGCGGGACTGGGGACCGAACAGAGCAACAGACAGGGGTGTCATCAGGGGACAGCCACCTCGCTCAGCGCGGCCACCACGACACTGCCTCTGAAGAGACAGGTGACTGTTATTTCCAAGGGGATATTTGTTTTCTACCCGGAGACAGATTTGTTGGACTAAAAGCAGTGATATCCACCTGGCTTCTCCTTCTGACTGGGCTGGAGCCACCTATCAACTCCCTCCCATTTATTAGGTAGTTTTTTTTTTTAGCAAGTTCTCATCCCATAGGGAGACTGAGCACCATAGCTTGGCTTCAGTCCCTGGATCCAACCAGAATACCCGTGGTCCTCATTCCTCAGATCCAGCATAAACTGCACCACCCAAGCAGGCAGGTACCCTCACAGGCAGTAACACTGATGTCCTTCTGTTCAGTGTCCAACTGGCCTACCAGAGACACCACGTTCAGATGGAGAGATGAACATCATGTGTCCTCAGACCTCAAGGGATGTTAGAGGAATACATCAATAAAACACACCAGGGACTGGCTATCAGGACCCTGGGTCCTATTCTAATCTCTGCCAGCAATGCCCTGGTGTCATGAGGTGAATCACTTCTCTCCATGCCAGTTTCTTTGCCAGTTACATGAGAGTGATGATATGTGGATGTCTTCCTAGCAAAGGGGGTTAACTCTTGTTCTTTAGCACTTGCAAAAAATTACAGGAACCTCATGATTTGGTGTCATGAGGTGAATCACTTCTCTCCATGCCAGTTTCTTTGCCAGTTACATGAGAGTGATGATATGTGGATGTCTTCCTAGCAAAGGGGGTTAACTCTTGTTCTTTAGCACTTGCAAAAAATTACAGGAACCTCATGATTTGGGCATGGCTGAGGCAGAGCAAGGAGAAAGTCTGTGTTGGTATTGCTTGGGTCAACAACCTTATTTAACACAGTGGCAGAGGACCTCAGTCTCCACAGCCATCTGGTGGACATGCTTCATATGCAATAAGATCTTAATTAAAACACTGGAGCATGGGAATAACCAGCAACTCTCCCTCTAAAATGAGAAAATGCTTCCTGAACACAAAGCAGCTGTTAGCCCAAATGGACCAGAGGGAGGACAGATTTATAGCAGCTCCGGCACAATCACAGCTCACCTTCCCTGGGTTCAGAGCACCTGATTTTCCACTGACAACATCCTACAAAGCACCTGTCCCCTCTGAACGTCTGCAGAGCTGCCAAGCAGGGGTCCCCTCCTGCAGCCTGACCCCAGCAAGGCCCTCCAACAGCTCTGTAATATTGGTGACCTCTCCATCAGCCACCGTATGGGTCTGCCATGCAGTGTCCTCTCCCTATGGACACCGCCGAATCTGTGGGTATGCCTCCTACGAGCACCTCCTCCACCTGACAGCCCCACTCAGCTGTGGCTGATTGTTTTCTAGGTATCTGTTCTCAGCTCTCAGCCTCTGGGCCCTTCACTGCACTTAAGTGGATTAAAAGCAACCCTTGACTGAGCTCACGTTGCCGTGCTGAGTGGCATGGTCAGCTCATTACAGATGGCTTTGCTAGCAATGTGTCTCAGCGGGTGCTCCAAGCACTGACTTGCCTTTGGCTCGCATGTCTCCCACCTCACGGTGAGAATTATGTGAGAAGTTGTTTGATTAGACCTAGTGCCATGAATGTGTCATCTCCATCCCTAGCTGCTATCCCATTTCTTGGGTCACATCTGCTCCTTAATTGAAGACGGCGGGGTCTCACATTATAATCAAGGCCGGCTGGTGACATAGGGAAAAAAAAAAAGGAAAGAAAGAAAAAGAAAAATGGGACAAAAGAGAAAGGAAGGTTTAAAAATAACATGTCACAGCAGCTCCAGATGTGCTCAAAACAATCCACTTCACAAAAGGGAGAGAGAGGAATGGCAGACAAGCACCGCGTGCGGAGCTGAGATAGAGGAAGAGAAAAGGTCTGGACGAGGACAAAGTGTCCCCCCCAGGACAAAGTGTCCCCCCCAGGGCCACAGGCTGTGCCCCTCTGTTACGGAGGGCCTGGGGCTGGGAAAGGGACACAGAGGAGCAGGGCTGGGACCGTCCAGATGCTTCCTTAGGTCCCAGGAACAGCAGGGCGGCCATGGATGCGGAAGATATTTAATCTTCTTCAGCAGGGAAATGGGATTTACTTGGCTTACATGGGGACAGGCTCAGGACCTATATTACCACCTTGTGAAGGGAATGTACCTACATAGTAAAAACTGGTTATATTTTCTCCTCTTGCCTCTGGCACTAGGAAAAACTCAACAAGCACTGACCGTGCAGATGGTCCTGGAGCCCCTGAGTTTTCTGGAGAGAGAGCAGGAGGAGGTCATCCCATGAGCACAAAGGATGGAGCACCATGGCAGGGGGCAGCTGGTGCTGAAGGACGCCGGAGGTTATGAAAGAAAGGAATGGTCACCAGCAATTACAGAGCCAGACATCAGCTCTGGCCCCGACAGCTGCTGGGGAGCCCACACTTCTGCAGGTAGGCTACACATAAAAGGGAGACCCGTGACCAAAGCGGGGATTCAGATTGCAAACCCTAGTGGATAACCACATGGCCTTTTCTCATTCTCAGCTTAACACAAAAGAAAGCTTGTTTAAATGAGCTGGTACTCTGACTGCCTCGGAGCAGAGCCCTCCAACACGACTCCTGCACAGATACCCTGGGGGAGCTGCAGGAAATGATAATGATTTTCCAGGTGCCTCTGACACCCAGAGGGAAGCAGCATCCCTGCTGGCCGTAAGGGAACTGATCTGCTGTGCACAGCAATATTGGGCTGTTCTGGCTCACTAAGCTGTTGTGGTGCTCTTTGGGGAGCCTGGAAATTAGACTGAGTTTTTACTGCTTCCAAAGGAGGGCCCTTGTCCAGAGGCTCCTGAAGTGCCTTCCCGTGTCTCCCTGATCTCCAGCACAGGCAGCTGAGGTGCTCTGTTAAGCAGCAGCCACATCCCAGGCAGCAGGTTGCTACACTTGAAGAGGGAGTTAAAAAAAAAACAACCAACCCTTTGCATACACAGGGCACCAGGATTCCCTGGTAGGCATCACGGCAAACAAATATAGGCAATTACTGCTTTCTCTCAGCACAGCTTAGCTCTGAAAGAGCTAGTCAGCAGGAGGAGTGATGCAGGGGGTGAAGAGGGCAGCACATTGCTGTTGTAGGCAGCGATGGAGGAGCAAGGCTCCTCCGGCAACCTTGTTAAGATGCGGCTGCTGTGAGAAACAAGGCAGGGCAGCCTGCCTTCACAGTAGAATTATTGTGCAACAGAAGAAAACATAATCACTCACCTGCTCGTTAGGAGCAAATCAAATCAGCCCAACACAGGCAACCTACTCCAGTGTGCCAGGCACCAGGATGCAAAGCTGGGCTGCAGGCAGCTCCCTTGCTGTGAGCCCGAGCAGATGCTCTGCTCTGAAGGGGTTGCTAAACTGGCACGGTGTTCACAATGATGAAGGGCAAGAGCAAGGAAAGCACAACAAAGAAGTGTCAAGTGCCAGGGGGTGCTGCTTTGTACCCCAATTAGCTCTCATTTTCTTGGTTTCATTGGAAATGCAGCACGGAAATGCACTGTCTTGCCAGATGAGTGAGGAAAGCATTGGCCGCTGGGCTGTGGCCAAGTCTTCAAACACTTGTTTTAAAAGTCCATTCTTATTTGAGCCTTGTGGAAAGGAGAACTGTTCTTTCTCACAAGACTCAGAGTATTTACTGGAGAGAGCACAGTCTTTGTGCTCTCGTCGTAGAACCTTGTGGTTCTACTCGGGCACAGCTCAGGGAGGGCTACTCTGTGATCCCTGTGATGCCATCTGCTTGGTGCAGGTTTCCACCAAGCTCAGATGCCTCCAGAAGGCATCTACTTGTGTCAAGGATGCTTCATCCACCAAGGATTAAGTCAGAGCACCCCAGGATGGCAGCAATGAACCATGAACAAACACCTTCTACTCTGCCCTCCAGAGTCCAGTCATCATTTACATTTCTATTTAAATCTGGAAAGTACAGCACTTAACATAATCTATGAAAATAGCAAGCCTTGCTAGGTTAGAAAGCAGCTTGATTTTCAGCAGCTCTCAGCCTAATCTGCTGAATGAGTCCCTCCAAGCTTAGCCATGCAATTACAGCACCAGTGGGACTCCTGCTTGCAGGCTCCACCTCACCCTGTGTGTGTGAGCTCATAATTGACCACTCATTTACGGAATTAAAACTGCAAAGGACACACAGAAAATCTGGTATGAAAGACTGCGCTTTCCGCTTAATTTCAATTATGAGGTGTGTTTTGTTACCCAAAGTGGCTAAATATATCAGACCATAATTATTCTCCAGAAAATAAATCAGCGTGGACTGCTATCAAGGCCTTATGGAACACATATGACTCCATCCAACATCCATTTACATTCTGGTAGGTACCCTCCTGCAGTCGCACTGGATTCATCTAGATAACAAAAGCAATGCTAGCAGAGGGTACCCTTTTTATCCGGTTCCTGGTCCCATAATCCAGGGTACTAAATATGTCACAGGCATCATTCATGATGCTGCACTCTTGCCTTCACAGACAGTAGAAAACTCCATGGTTTGAGTTCCAGGAGAGCTCACAGCTCTCCACCCAAACCAGAGGGAAGCTCTTGTGTTGTCACAAGACTGAGAAGTCACAGCTGAGTAATTCTATTCCCTCCAGTAGCAACCATAATCCACACACCAATAACGCACACCGGGCACCAGCCAAAGCAGTTTTCTATTTGGAAACAAATATCCAACCAATATTTGCAAGCTCAGTCTCCTCTGCTTGTTTCTGAGATATAATTGAGTAGTTAGGAGAGGGGAGATGGAGGAAGGCTAGCTCAACCAATCTGAGCTAAAAGCCAGAATATTTTTCTTTCATCTTCTATGCCTTTTGCCTTTGCACTCCAGTTTCCCCACATATAAAAAGATAAAACGTGTATTTCTGCAAAATACTTGAAAGCCAAGTTGCAAGTATTGTTATTTCAAACAAAACAAATTTATTTGA